GAAAGGGTCACTGATACGGTTCTGTTTGCTCATGGTTCTTTTTCCTAAAAAGGCAATAAACCACTCTGGCCAAGGAAGCACTGAGACTCAACATCTGCAAAAAGAACTCAACAAGGAGTTATTCAAAAAAACACATGTGGCAGAGGTGAAAGAAGTGCATACGGACTTTCTCTTAACATCCATACGGGAGCTTGTCTAGCAAAATTTTTTTCTCCTGAAAATTAAGTGTAACTCTCTTGGGCTCCAAAGATTCATTCAAACTCAGCTGAGAGGTTATGTACTAACTTTCCTAAGGATGAAAAGCTTTACATAAATAGAACTGATCAATTCCTAAAAATAAAAACTGATCGAACAGGTACACCTGACTTGAGGGGAAGCTACAAAAGCCCTTCATACAAAAAACTCACCTGCCTCACATGGTAGTTTCTGGCAGGTGGAAAGTTTGTCCTAAGTGAGACGGGAAAGTGCAACTGGTACTTGCACTTAGCTATGTTCTCTGCTGGAGAATCAAGACCTCAAGTTAGGGCACTTGGATATAGCAATTATAGTCAAATTGTATTCCCAGATTATTTCGATTTATACCCTACTGACATGATCTTAGATAGCTTTCTGTATCTTCCATTCATATAATTAATATTTATGACAGAAATGAAGGTGAGGAGAGGCTAAGACTTCATATTTCCCCCTTTCTTCCTACTGCTTTAGAATTCTTTGGTCCAAGATCATTGTAAGGGGAGACAAGTTCTCCCTCAAGGCCTCCAACAAACATGCTACACTTCTCAAACAAGACTTAGCTAATTTGCATTGCCTGGGTTTGAGGTGTTTAAAGATCCTAGAATTGGTGGGCAGACAGGTGGCAATCTTCTTGAAAAATGTTCCAGAGTAAGAGCATTCCAATGAAAGTCTGTTCAGCAAGAAAATACAACAGGGATAGAAACCTCTCATTAAACATGCACGTAAGGGCTCAGCGCCTGTAGCTCAGTGGCTAGGGAGCTGGCCACATACAACGGGGCTGGCTGTTTTGAACCTGGTGTGGGCCTGCCAAACGACAACTACAGCAACACCACCAAAACATAGCCGGGCGTTATGGTGGGCGCCTGTAGTCCTAGCTACTTGGGAGGCTGAGGCAAAAGAATCGCTAAAACCGAAAAGTGTGAGGTTGCTGTGAGCTGTGATGCTATAGCACTCTACTGAGGGAGACATAGTAAGACTCTGTCTCAAAAAAAAAAAAATGCACATATGGAGGGAAACGGTAAAATAGAGCAATTTCCTTTAAGCCACTCCTTTCAATGGTGACAAGTGGCTTGGGCAGACAGTGACTTTCTTCTGCACAACAAACACTTGGTGGCCAAGGGTCAACCATGCTGTGAGTGTTCTTCTTCCAGAAACACAGTTACCTAAAAATATACTGCCCACACAGGCAGGCTGAAAATCACTCTCTTCTTTCCAATGACACTTTCAAACTGCCTAACAACTTCAAACCAAGACAGCTTCCATTACATACCTTGTTTAGTCCCCCATGGCATTAGTGAGCTATCAAGCCATTAACAATGTATTTTAATTATAAGATTAAAAGAAATAGAAGAATTTAGCTACTGAAGGATTATGGGTATATTGAACTATTCAAATAGTGTGAAAAGCCCAAAATAAAGCATTATAAATTTCCCAGATTTCTCTCTAAAATGTCTTGTGAAATTTCTGACTTATATGTCTCATAAACCAACATAATAGATGTGGAAATCAGACTGTCAATTTATAAAAACCATTTCTTTTTTGGAGACAGAGTCTCACTTGGTCACCCTTGGTAGAGTGCCATGGCGTCTTAGCTCAAAGCAACCTCAAACTCTTGAGTTTCAGTGATCCTCTTGCCTCAACTTCCCAAGTAACTGAGACTACAGGTGCCCACCACAATACCTGGCTATTTTTCAGAGATGGGGTCTTGCTCTGGCTCAGGCTGGTCTCGAACCTATGAACTCAGGCAATCCACCCACCTTGGCCTCCCAAGTGTTAGGATTACAGGCGTGAGCCATCATGTCCAGCCTATAAAAACCATTTAAGAAAAACTTTTACATCCCATAAAGAACAACAAAACTTTTTTTTTTAACATAAAGCACAATGTACTTTCATATCCTAAATATTGGAAAAAAGGCTAAAGCCACATCCCTTATTCCTCATATCCAACAGTTTGGTTTTAAACTCAATTCAAATCAGTAAGCAAACAGAAAGATCATCCAGTGAAAAATGGCTAAGGCCCCTGACAGTGAATTTAAAGGTGTCTACATTAGCCTCTGGATCAGGACAAGGATCCAAAGAAGAAGCCAGACTGGAGGCATCTGAGCTTTACTGGGGTTGATATGGAAGCTTTAATAGAGGGCCTGGATGGCTAAGAGAAGGAAATGGAGGAAATCAGTACCTTCCCCCCCAAAAGGTAGAATTTCCCCAATGGACCTGATGAAGAAGATATAAAACACATTGATGTAGCAAGTGATGCTGAAAAATTTAAGGGATAAGAGTAGGGGAAAGGCTGCTAAGGAAAGAGATGATCTGGATGTTTAAGAACTTTCTCTAGGCCAGACCCAAGTGGGAATACCTGTAATCCCAACACTTTGGGAGGTGGAAGGGGGAGTATGCGTGAGCTATGGTTGTACCACTGCACTCCAGCTTGGGCAATAAAGTGAGAAAATAATTTTCTCCAGAGGTACAACAACAGTTCCTCCTTCAGGCCCAACTGTAGGTTTATGGTAATAACTGTGAGGATATCTTCTTATTCTAAATCTCTTCTCTCTGTTCACTCCATATTTTTTCATTACAAAAGGCATTTTCTCAGTGGCTATGAAGTTAAGACAACTGGACCAGTAAGTTTTTCCTAAGAAGTATTTTTCCCTATATTAAGCCTCACGGAATTTTGGAAGGTACTCTGGATGTTGAGACAGGAAATGTTATGTTCAGATGTCACCTGACCAAAACTTACCATGTTCTGTGTTCTCAATGCCTAGCATATTCATCAGCTGGCACAGGCTGCAAATTAGCATTAAGAATGTATTTGTTTCCAAGCTTGATGATCCTGAATTTTTTTTTTTAATAACCAAAATTCACATTTTATTTAGATTGAAATAAGCCATACAAAATTGATTCTGAAGTTTTCTTGAGAAGGGAACAGGCTTCTCCCTGACCACAAACAAGGCAGTGCTACATATTCTGGGTCTTTGTTCTCTCTCACTTGACTCTGCTGTAACCCAGACAGGCTGGAATTTGCCTTAACAGGAGGGATCATGAGCCCAAGTCCACATGAACCTACATGTGGATATACCCTTTTTGTAGAGAAGCAGCATTTCTAAGATCTTTAAGAACTAGTGAACAGGGTCTTTTAAATTTCTCATTTCTTTTAAGTAAAGAAGTGTTTTAACAACCTAAACTTGGAAAATCCAAATCCATACTCACTAATCAATCCAGGTTTTATGGTCAACTTGTTTAGGCACAAAAACAAACAGGAAAACTCTTACACTTTAGAGTAGATGGCCCCTACATATGCCTTTTTCTTTAGTTTTGTCTGAACGTGTGACCTGGGGATCTGAATATCATCAACCAAGTCTAGAAGTGCACATGCATTCATGTGTGGGTTTGTATGCATGGGGTATGTGGCCAGGAGAGTTGAGTCTCACTTTAAAAAGTATATTCCTTATAAGGTAATTTGAAAAGAGGCTAACGAGAAGGAGGAATGAAAAAACAAGTAGTTTGAACTTTCAAAGGGGCATAATAAAATAGGAGTTAAAAAGAAATTTAATACTAAATAATGAAGATTAGTATAGACTTCTAAGACCTTCATATGATTGGCTTCAAAATCAACGGAAAAATAAATAAGACTTTATTCTCAAATATACTGGTAAAACCAGCAACTGTAGCATTACAACAAGCCTTTTAAGCTAGATGTGGTGGTGCATGCCTGTAGTCCCAGCTACTTGGGAGGCTAAGGTGGGAGAATCACTTAAGTCCAGGAATTTGAGGCCAGCCAGGGCAAAACAGTGAGACCTTATCTATTAAAAATTTAAAAACAAAGATATAATAAGTCTTTTAACAGTCTGGATCATACAGAAGATGATGTAATATCATGGTAGATTGCATATTAACATCCTAAAAGAGCAAAAATGAAAATCATCCTATGAAAAAAAATCACATTAGGTTTCTAATCCTGGGACTTCTTGTGCTTTAGAAATTCATTTTATTTCCCTCATCCTCTATGTTTTTCATGGTTTGGGGTGCTTCTTCTTGGACCCTTGACTCTGGGTAGTGAACCCCTCCCCTCAGTTCTGGTGCCCAGGCTGGGGGACCCCTACTTCCTCTCAATGTTCTCTTTCAGGTGCCTCAAATCCTTCAGCTGTCTACTCTCACATTTCATTCAGGGAAGTGTGGAGCAGGAGAGGGATGACTGACAGGTTCTAAAAATGTTCTGGTCCTTTTGAGGCACCAACATTAGATATGATGCATTTAACACTGACATACATCTGGCTATTATGGGGCCATTCTTGTATTCCTGACAGGCTAAAATGAGGGACAACAAGAGCAATTGACTGATTAGACTGCATAGGTCCCCTAGCAGCATTCCTGCTAACACAAAACCACCTCATAGACACAGGTCAGAGATTCTATTGATCATACCTAGATTTCAGTGAACATATGATAATGCTTATCATTAATGTCTGAACTTGGGTAGTAGGGACTTCCCGGTTCAATTCTGGGATCTGCCATTCCACTTTTTCCTAATAATGCATTTCTTGCTTTCCTTATTAAATTGGTGGAGTCTGACAGAAGGAAAAATATACAGGGGAAATACTGAGCATATCGTGCAAATTATCATATGTCACAAGATACAACAGAAACCAAAAGGCAAAGTTTCTTATCAACAGAATAGTTTTAGCTCAATTTCCTCTCATAACTTTTCTTGAATTTTTTTTATAGTTTCCTTTCATATTGGCAAAAATTCAGGCAGGGTCCCCTAACAGTAAAATTTAGAATTAAAAAAATATTTATTGATAATGTCTTTTATAAATGTTCGGTAACCCCAACTAATTATCCAAAATGCAAACTGTAAACACAACAGCGAAAGAGTAACAACTGAGTGTGAATAAGCAGACTATGAAAAGGTGACAGACTGAGCAAGAGTGTGGCAGGGAGCAACAGAGAATGGAAGACAAGTGCACAACATGCGCTACAGACAGTGACAATTTGAGTGAATAAGTAATCACATTTGGACCACAGAGATTTCAATGCAACCATTAGGAAACCGCTGGGCCAAATACCAAAATACAAGAGGAATGGACAAACCTTCTTTGTGAGCATGCTCAGCATGTTGGCATGGAAACAAGGAAGCACAGAAGCTCTGTAGTCACAATAGATGGCTACCATTTCTAGGATACAAAGAAATTTTCTTCTGGTCCCTGGATATCATATATTGTTTTTCCATGCTTTTCTTGCCCCTGGAGGACTGCAGTTGCTATACCAAAATCCCCAAAGAAACCCTTTGACAAAGTAAAGAAACCACAGCAGCAGTAACACTGGGTTTGCTGGAATGCCCCCTCCCTCCACCTTGGCCTATGGTTTTCTTCTGGGCACCTCCAACAGGAATGGTTAAGTTTTACCAATCCACTGGACAAAGCCAGAATAAACTTCAGTCTCATGGTCACAAAGTGTGAGTGGATGGGGATGAAGGTGTGTATGTGTGGCTCTGGAGATCTGGACACTGCCCTCACTTTGTAACCCTTGCCCAGAACACTGGGGTTGCTTCCACTGGAGAGACTCCACGGTAACTCTAGAAGTGTCATTAAATACTCAGTTCACCAAGGTTGACCACCTCCATTGTCATAGGATGATGCAGCATCTGCAGAAGCGCTGTCTGCTGCCCCCTACTGATGGGGGTGGAGTGACAGGTGCGAAGTAGGCGTGGACTTTAATATTGGGTAAATGGGTCTGAAACAAGACAGAAACATTACTGAGAGAGGGCAGAAACAGAAACTACAATGTTGCTTTTCAGAAAAACCACCAAGGGACTGAATGAATATGGAAACAGGGCAGAGGATAAGCACTGGTCAGGATGCTGAGAGGAATGGGTTCTACTCTGTTCCATCCTAGGCTGTTCTAAATGACCAGATCATAACTTTGATACTTGTTTCCCTTTTTTTTTTTTTTGAGACAGTGTCTCACTTTGTTGCCTTTGACAGAGTATCACAGTGTCCTAGCTCACAGCAAATTCAAACTCTTGGACTCAAGTGATTCTCTTGCCTCAGCCTCCCAAGCAGCTGGGACTAAGGCACCTGACACAGGCTGGTCTCCAACCTGTGAGCTTATGCAATCCACTTGCCTCGGCCTCCCAGGGTGCTAGGATTACAGGCCATGAGCCACCATGCCTGGCCCTGATATTTGTTTCCTTAATAATAAAATTGGTGAGAAACACCATACTATTTTCTTATTTTGTCCTAAAGGGATTTCCAGTTGGATTCCCATAGGCAGAAAAAGATATATAAATCATTTTTTTCCAAGTCATTGTTGATAATGCCTTTTCTGATTAAAAAAAAAAAAAAAGAAACCCATTATCTTCTTTTAACAGTATTCTTCTAATCTTAACTATTATTTCTAAATAGCTACTACGTTCAAGGCAATGCGCTATTTAAATGAGAAGAGTATAAAAATGCTCAAGATGGGGATCCTGGTCTTGGGTGTCTACAGTCTAGACATGCACATAAATAGCTACATTAAAGTGGAAAAGTGCCAAGTGACTTGAAGTACAGATAACAGATCTCTGGTTATCTCCTGAGGATTCAGAGATAGAAAATTCTTGACAGCCAGGAGATCTAGAACCCTAATATAAGGAGGTCACATTGGCACTCTTTCTCTTTTGGTGTAGAAGAAATACGGTTACAAGGTTTCGCCAGTGCAGATACACTCTCAGTCCTCTATGTCTGAGGGGAGAGGAAGATCTGAGGCCAACTGGAATTCAAGATGAGATCTGGTGTTCTTTTTTTTTTTTTGAGATAGAGTCTTACTATGTCACCCTCGGTAGACTGCCATGCTGTCACAGCTCACAGCAACCTCAAGCTCTTGGGCTTAAGGGATTCTCTTGCCTCAGCCTCTGCAACCACAGGAAAAAACTATCTACCTTTAGGTATGTATTCCATTTGTTTCCTTGCTAAATATCCAAGTTAATTATAAAGTAGCTGGGACTACAGGCACCCGCCACAACACCTGGCAAGTTTTTTTTTCTTTTTTGCAGTTTTTGGCTGGGGCTGGGTTTGAACCCGCCACCTCCAGCATGTGAGGCTGGTACCTTGCTCCTTTGAGCCACAGGCGCCGCCCAGAGCTGGCTATTTTTTTTGTTGTAGTTGTTATTTGGCAGGCCTGGGCCAGGTTTGAACCCGCCTGCCCCGGGAATATGTGGTTAGCGCCCTAGTTGCTGAGCTACAGGCGCTGAGCCAAGGTCTGGTGTTCTATTTGCTCAAGGCCACATGGCCAACAAAGACTTTTTTTAGAGGTCAGTGGTAAGGGTCTAATTTAGTAGCGTCTTTCCCACATCAGGTATGAAGCAGATGTTCCAATAAAAGTCTATTGAACAGAATAACATACAGATTCATTCAGCTTTTTATAACTTTTTTGCTTAAAACATGTCTTCTAATCATTTGGCTATTCATGCATGGATCTCTCTTTTATGGAGGATGGGGCCAAAAGAAAAGGTAAAAATCTACTCCATTTGCTGATTTAAAAAATAAAACTCCCAGGAAAGGGGTCTGATGTCAAAAGGAAATACAAATTAAATTTTAAATCCCAAACATTTTCTTTATGTTATTCCTTTTTTTCTTTTTCTTTTTTTTGAGACACAGCCTCAAGCTGTCACCCTGGGTAGAGTGCCATAGCGTCACAGCTCACAGCAACCTCCAATTTCTGGGCTCAAGCAAGTCTCCTGCCTCCACCTCCCAAGTAGCTGGGATTACAGGCCCCTGCCACAATGCCTGGCTATTCTTTGGTTGCAGTCATCACTGTTGTTTGGCAGGTCCAGCCTGGATTCGAACCCACCAGCTCAGGTGTATGTGGCTGGCCTTAGCCGTTTGAGCCACAGGCGCCGAGCCCTATTCCTTTCTTTCTTTTTGAACCAAAATATAGTATGTGCTTTTTTCCACTCTCAAGTTGTAATTAAGCAATGGATGTTACAGAGAGTTTGCTGGGAGGAGAATTACTCTGCTTTTCCTTCAGTGAGCATTTCCTTCCTAAATTTCTATCTGTAACCACAGGAAAAAATGATCTACCTTTAGGTTTGTACTCCATTTTTTTCCTGGCTAAATATCCAAGTTAACTATAAAAATAACAGGAATCTAAACCTGAAAATAAAAAAAAAAAAGAAGCAAAGCAAAGCAAGAGTGTTGAGAACATCAGAGCTGGAGAGTTATGCAACCATCTTTACCCTGAGTCTCTTGATTCCAGCCCGTGTGATTTGCTGGCAGTCATAGAGTTCTATCCGCTCAAGGCTGTGACAACTCTTCAAGTGCTCCAGGGATGCATCTGTGATTAGTGGGCAATTGTCCAGTTCAATCACCTCCAGCTGGTCATGGGCACAGGCCCCATTCCCTAGGTGACGAATTCCATCATCTGTGATCAGCTCACAGTGAGACAGACTCTGCAGCCAAACAGAGTAAGTAAGGATACTGAAACATCTTTTGATATCCATTAGGCAGAGACGTGTGTAAAATCACAAACCTTCTTGTTTGATTTTTTTTTTTAGTTGGCCGGGGCTAGGTTTGAACCTGCCACCCCCGGTATATGGGGCTGGTGCTCTACTCCTTGAGCCACAGGCACCTCCCTTCTGGTTTGATTTTGATGAATATAGAGCCACTAATAGATCCATGTGATAAAATGAAGGATGTAAACTTCCTTCTTGGAAGGAAGTTCCAATAAAATGAAGGATGTAAAAAGGAGTTACAGGGGTTATGCTTTCTGTAACCAAGACTGATGTTTCTGTGTGTTATTCTAAATATATTTATATATAAATAAAAAAAAAATTTTTTTTTGAGAGTCTCACTTTGTAGTCCTCAGTAGAGTGTTGTGGCATCACAGCTCACAGCAACCTCAAACTCTTGGGCTCAAGCAATTCTCTTGCCTCAGCCTCCCGAGAAGCTGGGATTACAGTCATGAGCCACCATGCCTGGCCATAAATATATTTTATAAATTTGTGTAATGACTGAACTAGTTCATGAACAAAATAAGATTAAAACATCTCTCTGTCAATTTTTCTTAAGTTCCTGGTTCTGGAAAACTTAGAAGATCTAACTTTGGATAGTACTGTGCCACCAAACCAGAAGTAAACTTGGTCACAGAACAATTAACCTGAATGCCTTCTGACAGTGTCAATGAAAATAATAGCAAGATCTCTTCTAGTTAAGTCTATTGGTCCCACTTGATTGGAAAAAACATTTAACTTTTCTAGGTCCTATTTCAGATTCTACTTCATTTAAAGGTCCTCCCTTGATCATCAGTAAGCTGTCAATTTGGAGAAGCATCCCTCCCTGAAGTGGTAGCCAGACACCAAGTGGAAAGTTTTTTATTTTTTTTTTTTTTAGAGACAGAGTCTCACTTTGCTGCCCTCGGTACAGTGCTGCCCTCTGTACAGTGCTCTTGGGCTTAAGCGGCACTGCAACCCTCAGCTCTTGGCTTAGGCGATTCTCTTGTCTCAGCCTCCCAAGTAGCTGGGACTACAGGCGCCCACCACAATGCCTGGCTATTTTTTTGTTGCAGTTTGGCTGAAGCTGAGTTTGAACCCACCACCCTTGGTATATAGGGCCGGCGTCCTACTCACTAAGCCACAGGTGCCACCTGAGTGGAAAGTTTGGGGTTAAATCCAATAAATATATAAAACTTTTTTCTTTTTTTTGAGACAGAGTCTCACTATGTCACCCTTGGTAGAGTGCTGTGGCGTCACAGGTCACAGCAACCTCAAACTCTTGGGCTTCAGCGATTCTCTTGCCTCAGCCTCCCAAATAGCTGGAAGCCCACCACAATGCCTGGCTATTTTTATTGTTGTTGTCATTGTTGCTTAGAAGGCCCAGTGTATGTGGCCGGCACCCTAACCACTGAGATGGGGCACCGAGCCAAATATATAAAACTTTGAAAGTCGAACTCACCAATACTTGGAGTCGAGGACAGTGTATTGAAAGTTGGATTAATGTGCTATCTGTTATCTGAAAGAAACACATAATTTTATTTTAGGTGTAACTCCAAATAAAATCATAGGTCATACCATATTCTTTTTATTTACTTATTTATTTTTGGAGACAGAGTCTCACTTCTGTCACCCTGGGTAGAGTGTCACGGTGTCATAGCTCCACAGGAACCTCATACTCTTGGGTTCAAGTGATTCTCTTGCCTCAACCTCTCAAGTAGCTGTGACTACCAGGTGCCCACCACAATGCCTTGGTATTTTTATTTTTTTTGAGACGGAGCCTCAAGCTGTCCCCCTGGGTAGAGTGCCATGGCATCATGATCACAGCAACCTCCAATTCCTGGGCTCAAGCGAGTCTCCTGCCTCAGCCTCCCAAATAGCTGGGACCACAGGCGTCCGCCACAACGCCCGGCCATCTTTTGGTTGCAGCCATCATTGTTGTTTGGCGGGCCTGGGCTGGGGATTCGAACCTGTCACCTTAGGTGTATGTGGCTGGCGCCTTAGCCACTTGAGCCACAGGCGCCGAGCCAATGCCTTGGTATTTTTAAAGAGTCTTGCTCTTGATCAGGCTAGTCTTGAACTCCTGAGCTCAAGCAATCCACCTGCCTCAGCCTCCCAGAGTGCTAGGATTATAGGTGTGAGCCATCTTGCACAGCTTTCATAACCTCCTTTTTTTTTTTTTTTGCGGTTTTTGGCCGGGGCTGGGTTTGAACCC